AGGTGGATGACTGATGATTACGACGAACAATCTCAACACAATACTCTTCCTCTGTACGGGGTATTTATTAAGACAGCGCCAGACGTCTTCGCAGCGCACTGTAGACCAACTGGTGTGGGAGGTTAGGATAAGCAAACCTCTTTTGTGTAACGGACAAGCCCCATACACAACGACAAGCCACAACCCGACCTTTGTCTCCCCCAGAGACTGAGGCTACGCTGCTAAAGTAGGTGCCTACTTCAAATTAGGAGTAGAGTACGGAGTAAGCAAGAGCGGGTACTCGCGTTGGCAAGCAGGGCTATTTGATAGGTCCGAAGTGAGAGGCGGCCAAGTTGAGAGCGGATTGTGGCTGCTGATTTGCATGGGCGACCATTGTCTTGGTTTGGCAACTTTGGGTTGCAGTGTTTCTTGGAAGCTAGCCTGACGGGAGTCGTGTCAGAGGCTATCTAGTGATTGAAGAGGCTTGCGAGACGGGTTTGGAATCCGATAGCGCCGAAGATCTCTTACGATTTGGATCCGTACTTTAATATATATCTAAGGAACCGTGTGCTCTGCATGGGGACATTCCTTGCAACTGGACCGTCACGTTGTGTGCACATTGCGAAAGATGAATACTACTCCGTTGTGATGTTCGTTATTTGAAAAGAAAGATAAAAAAAATACCCAATCATGAGTCTGAGCCCTGTCATCTCTCATAAGAGAGCATAACTACCTCTTGTTCTAAGCCCCCTAGTGTGATAGGAAACAGATGACTCGTAGCCCCTGAGCCCACGCTCCAATGTGATGATGATGATGATAATGCTAACCAACCTGTAACCCCCCAGACAAACTCATGTTGAAAGCATAGCCAAAATGATGCAGAAGATGATGTGAAGATTCAGAAGCGTGGAAAAAAACAAGAAACAAAGCAATACCACGGGAAACGTGGAAGCCAAAGGCCTGCAAACAGTTTCGTTCTTCACGCAACGCGGAAACTCTCTTTGATGGCAGCTCCCAGCCTCTGAATCGCCTTATCCATATCCTGCTCGCTGGCCGAGGCGAACGTGGCGCGGAAGAAGAGATCCTTGAGCGGGGTGTCCTGCTCGGTGCGGAACCACGAGCCGCGGGCGCAGAGGACGCCCTTTTCGATGCACGAGTTGAAGATTTCCTCCTCGATCTCGAGGAGGGGGCGGCTGGCGTCGCTGTCCGGGTGGGCGGTGTGGTCTATTTTGAGCCATAGCTGGATACGAGGAGGAAGTTGATTAGTCTCGGAGCGAGTATCGTCACATGGGGGAGGTGTATGTGTCTGGGAGAAAGGAGGACGACGTAAAGAAACTCACAAACATGCCAGCCGCAGGGGGCGTCCAGCTCACGATATCACGGGGAAGATGCCTCTCGCACGCGGCGAGCAGCCAGTCGCGGCGCTGCGTGTACTCCATGCGCAGATTCATCAGCCACTGGAGGTATCCCTCGTGGCCCCAGGTCTCGTCGAGCAGCTTCCACACGGCGATCTGCGAGAACCCCGAGGGCCCCTGGTTCGCGACCTCGGCGTGGCGGATGAAGCGCTCAATCACCTGCGCCGAGGCCGTCACCCAGCCCAGGCGGGAACCGGGCACGAGGACCTTGGAGAAGGAGTCCATCCGGAGCACGCGGCCGTCCGTGTCCATGCTTAGCAGGGAGGGGATCAGCGTGCCGAGGAACTCGTCGACGGAGGACGGGGGCGGGGCTGCCGGCGCAGAGGCGTCGGATCCGGCGTAGGGCTGCATCTGCAGGAAATAGTACGGCTCATCTTCGATGATGTAGAGGTCGTGCTTCTGCGCCACGGCGTAGATGGCGCGCCGCCGGGCCGCAGACTGCGTCGCGCCCGTGGGATTCTGGCCCGAGGGGACGGTATACAGCAGATGCGGCTTCCTGTGCCCGCCCCGCGCCGCCGGGTCCCAGGCAGAGAGCATCTCGTCCATGGCGTCCGGCAACAGGCCCTCGGCGTCGACGGGGACGCCGACGGCCTTTACGCCGAGCGGGGCAATGGTCTCGAGCGCGGTGGAGAAGCTGTACTCCTCCGTCAGGACGGCGTCTTTGCGGTCTTTATCGCAGAACATGCGCAGCGTCTGCTCGAGGGCGGCGGTGCTGCCGACGGTCTGGCAGCATTGCCAGTCGGCGTAGGGAGGGTTGTAGACGAGCTCGGTGTGTTCTGTGACGAAGCGCATCATTTGGGCGGAGCCGGTGGACTGGGTGTAGTTTAGGGCGATGGAGAGGTCGTATTCCGCGCGGCCTTCGGGGTCGTCACGGACGTCGTATTTGCCCACGGTGATGTCTTGGCCGTGGGTGCCGATGGTGTCGGCTTCGGAGAAGTGCGGGGCCGTGGGGACGCGGACGGAGAGGGAGGCGAAGGGGAAGTAGGCGCTCGAGGGGAGGCCGCCGCCGAGGGAGATGAGGCCCGGTTTCTTGAGGTGGCGGGCGGCTTGTTTGAGGGAGCAGGGGTGGCGGGAGAGGGACTCTTTGGAAAGGTGATCTTGAAGGTGTGTCAGTGAGATGTTCAGGAGTGAGAGGATATGTGAATGAAGCTTACGGTCCCATCGCCTTGATTTGGGTTTCCCAATGGCCTGTGATGAGAGGTCAGTATAACGTCACTTGGGATCTGAATGCCGTAAAAGAGGAAGCATACGGGAGCCTTGAACATATCGCTGTCTGAGGCGGCGGCCACACCCGCAATCAGCTTGCCGGCCTTGGCCCTGCGTTCCCGGACGCCATCGAACGGCGACGGCTGCTGTCTCTTCTCAAAGGTTGCTTTCCTCTCCACGGGGACGGCGTCTGCCACGGACCTGTCACTCGACTTTGAGTGAAACGGGCGCTGAGAGGCGACGGGCTCCCATGTCGCTGGGGCGCGTTCCCGGCTCCGGCGCCGGAGATCTGTAAGTCGAGATGGGGTGCGTGGAGGGGCAGCAGCTGCTGATAAGGGCTCAGAGGAGGCCCGGCAGACGGAGCCATTGAGGCCACGGCGAGCGGCTCTCGAGTACATGCTTGCGGGGAACGAGTTGAGTTGCAAGATGTTTGAAGAAGAGATGTGTTTACTGTGAGATTTCGAGAGGTGTTGTGAATAATGTTGAAAGTTGTCGGTTATCTCAGCCCGAGTCCAGGGAGCTTTCGAGATAACAAAGGGCGTAAGGCGTATCTGACACTCTACACGCGGGCGCGGGTGCACCAGGTGGTGGGGCAGCCCGCAGCTACCCGCAGCTACCCATGACTCCCCCGCATTGTGCTACTGTTTGCCCGTAATTTTTAGGTAATTAGGGGTTCTCTGACCGCTGCGGGCGCTGTGAGCGTTTCCTTCTTAGTGCTGGTAGAAGACCAGTTTGGGACTCTAGTTGCAAATGTGCTAGATTGCGGGGAGGGAAGGGGGGAATCACCGGCCTGTTGAGGATGGATCGCGTGACGCCGGTTGCGGAGAGAGATGGCGGATCCAGTCCGGCTCCGGGTGGATACCCGAGACTGGAGCCTGTCCGGGGGTACTTGGCCGTCGGCCGGTTGGCGGGGCCATCGAGAACCGGGTGTCAGTTCACACATAGCAGTGGGTCAAACGAGATAAGAATCATAATGGACACAGTATCTGTCCGGGATGAACGGCATTCGAGACTGATCCATGTGCTTCTTTACCAAGAGCACAGATGCCTGGCCTTTCAACGAGTCCAACACGCCAGCGCACGGAAATCCCAGATAGCGCAACGGCTTCCATGCGTCACGGGCATGTCGCTGTAAGTGTCAGTCACCGTTAGCTGCCTGCGCCCCCCGTCCGAGACACCTGTCTGCCAGACGTTCGGATGCGCAATCGTCACGAACCCGGATGTGAGAGCCGGCGCCCGTGGACATCGAAGCCCGAAGAAGGCCCCCTACCGACTCGTAGGTATCCCACACTCATGCGAGGCCTCGCGTCCCGCATCCCGAGCCCCCGTCTTGCGTACTTTGTACCTGAATATCATCGTCAGAGACTTACTCCTCATTCAGCTACCTTGACTTCTACTAATCCTTGGAGGTTGCTGCGGAAGAGGGGTCTCACGAGATTCTGGCACCGAGTCAACGGGTCCTGAGTCCTGACGCCAAGGGTCTGGCGGAGCCCCAGCCATCCGTCGTTCACCAGCCACGCCATTTTCGACGCTATCCACCAACCAATCAGAACCTTTGAATTCATCCCAACCTCCCCTCGTCTCAACTTTCTTTCCAGGACAGCCAATCCGAGTTGGACGGACAACGAACAGGGAACACCACGTAGCGGCACCGCGGAACAACGGCCACTGATTGCCTTTCGTCCAGTGCAAGAAAAACATGGAAAACATCTCGATGTTGATGTCCCTTCATTTCCACCCATCAACCATCCCCCCACACCCTCTTGGTAGGTAGTAAGGTACTAGGCAAGGTAGACCGTAGGCGGCGCATGGGGTGATGAATTCTCTTGGACTATTTTCCAAGGCCCAAGGCCCGAAAAAACTGCTTGGAACCCCAGAGGACAAGAGGGAAAAAGGGCCCTGCGCGGCCCGATGACGCTACTGCAGCTGCCAGTGGCTGGGCACATGGAAAATGATTGGGAACATGCAGACAGCTCAGATCATATAACACCAATCTGCCGCTGCCATTCTATCACGGCCCGCCCGTGTGATGTACAATCTTCCTTGTTCTTGCTGCTGTCAGTTCTCCCTACCTACAGTACCTCACGCTTACTCCTGTCCACCCACCCCCTCGTGTTGCCCAAGTGCGACGTGCCACGGACTTACACGGATCCTTGTCTGCATCTTCTTTCCCTGTGACGTCGCCAGCTCCCAACCGGCCTTGGCTTTAGGTCGCAGCGGGCTTTTTTTCTTTTTCCACGGCGGTTCGACTTGGAGATTCTCTTCAAGTGGGAGGAGACTTGAGTTAAACCTCTCTTCCTCTCTTTCACCGACGACTTCACCCTCGACCTCCCGAGTCTGTAACACCCTTACCCTCCACTGGTTCTCTGCGGTGGAACCCTCACACATCCAAATCACGCAATGCTCTTCTCAAGGAGACTATTCGCCGGCCTGACGGCGTTGGCAACAACAGCTTCAGCTCAGACGTATTCATCGTGTAACCCCCTCCAACAAAGTAAGTCTTAGTTACCGTCACACGATGCCACCAACAAGCAACATCAGGTACTAACCTATCCCCGCTCTCTAGCAACATGTCCCGCCGACACAGCTCTCGGCATGGCCATCCACGTCGACTTCACCCAGGGCGCCGTCAACTCCTTCGCCGCATCAGGTAACCCATCCTACGGCTCCGACGGCGTGACCTTCAGCGTCGCCGCCTCGGGCCAGGCGCCGCAACTCATGTCCCTCTTCTACATCATGTTCGGCCGCGTCGAAATCACCCTGAAAGCCGCCACCGGCGCCGGCATCGTCAGCTCCCTCGTCCTGCAGTCCGACACCCTCGACGAGATCGACATGGAGTGGCTCGGCGCCGACCCGACAGAGGTGCAGTCAAACTACTTTGGTAAAGGCGACGTGACGACCTACAACCGCGGCCAGTTCCACCAGACCAGCAAGAACAATCAGGAGAATTTCATGAAGTACACCATCGACTGGACCTCGGAGCGCATCGTCTTCTCCGTCGACGGCACCGTCGTCCGCACCTTGAAGGAATCCGAGGCCGATACAAACCAGTACCCGCAGTCGCCCATGCAGGTCAAATTCGGCTCCTGGTCCGGCGGCGACCCGGCCAACGCCGCCGGCACGATCGACTGGGCCCGCGGACCGACGGACTTCTCCAAGGGGCCCTTCCACATGGTCGTCAAGGACGTTTCGATTACGGACTACTCGACGGGTAAAGAGTACAAGTACACCGACACCACGGGCAACTGGGGCTCTATCCAGGCCGTCGACGGCCAGGTCAATGGGAACCTGGGGAAGGCGAGCCAGGTCACCTACACGGCCAGCGCGGCCGCCGAGACGGGTTCTCCCGCGCCCACGGTGCCCCGCGGCGGTATCGGCGCCGACGAGTCGGCCTCCGCTACGCAGACGGGTTGGCCTTGGGTCGCGAGCGCGAGACCTACGGGCGGTTCTGTGCCGGACGGATGGCGCATGACGTCCGAGGGCAAGATTATTCCCGACGGCGCGGGCAGCTCGGTGCGTCCTTCGTGTCTGGTCTTGGTGGTGTCGTTTGCTGTCGGTATTTTCGCTTTGATGGGGCGGTAGAAGAAGATGTCATGATACGCTCTCCCCCTCCGCCTGGAGAGGTGTTTTTTTTTTCCGGAATTTTTTAACATGATGTAATGGATATATGTGGTGGAAGAACATTTGCTGGTTTCTGGAGGCACGATATCAGAAAAACGGACGGCTCACATTGAAAAGAAGCCTATGCATTGGACGGCGTTTGGGGAGCATCAAGGGACGGGAAACCATGCGAATTGGATTTGAAACGTATAAGACGCATTACTTTTGTAAATAGAATAGACGCAGCAATGTCCTGCGTGAAGAATCACCCGAAACGAATGGATCGGAAAGCAGTTTATCCAACCGAGTTGATCCCTTTGGATTGTGATTTCTCGTCGTCGCTTCGAGGAGCGGGCAGCCCGGACGGAGGAACCAGAGTGGGTCTGAGACGGCTAGGCAACTAGGATGACTTTACAGTCCAATCAAGATATGAGGCGTTGTGGCAGAGTGGTCTAATGCGCAAGACTAGAAATCTTGTTCCTTCGGGAGCGTCTGTTCGAATCAGGCCAACGTCGATGTCTTTTGCTTTTTGGGCTATTTTCCCATAGCCTTCTACAAATCTCAATCGATGGCACTCATTGTTCATTTTGCACTTTATTTCATTGACTCATTTAGATTTGGTGTGGCGTAGAAGCCGTTCTTGTTCTGTAAATGCCGTTCAACTGAGTGACATGGAGGTACAGGTTTACAAGCCTCAGTTCCCTCAGACATTGAACCACCAGCCCGCCACACCATCAACATTCTGCAGCCACCTCGAAAATCTACTCCGCTTCGTGTTCTCGGCCTTTGGTTGGGTTTGGCATAGCAAAAAAGTCGTGCCATGTCCCCGTAAGCAATGAAGACATGCTACGTATTGTCGAACCTTTGGGGAACGACTTGTTGAAGCCTGACATCACATCTATGCGACACTCTGAGTTGCTGAATTCGCTGTTGTTTTGATTAACTAAGCTAGTCTAGTCTGCTGTGGCCTGTTTGTGGCTCTATAGCAAAAAGGCGTAACCGGCGGACGGTGGCCCCCAGGTCACCGTTCTCTACAAAAGCCCCGTTTTATCTCTTTAAGCAACACCCCCTCTCTTCGCTGTATGCATTGGCACTTCCTCGCGCCCTCAACCGCAGCTGATATATACCTTTTTCTCCTTGCCGTCCTGAGTGACTTTCTCCAGATACCGAGTTGGGCCATCGCGTAGAGTGGTCCCTAACTGGCAGGACGTCCCAGGCCCGGGGTAAAATGCTGAAATAGAAATGCTTTTGGTACAAACAAACAAATACAGTAAAAGTGACGAGATACGATGGGGTTGGTTCAGCAAAGCAACTGAAGTTCTGGAAAGAACGCGATCAGAACTCCCAGTCATCATCCTCAACAGACTTGATGGCCCAGCTGAACTTTTCGCGCAGCGTCTTGGAGAAGAACTTCTCAATAGGAACGTCAAACTTCTTGGCAAAGACAACCGTAAGGCGCGGATCAATGTAGTTCTGAAATATGTTAGCTTTGAAATCATTTCAGCCAAGCGAATAACTTACGATCTTGGAGGTGCTCAAGGCAACCTCCTTGTTGCCATCACGATCAGCAGCCTGAAGCTCCAAAGTCTTGACTCTGTCATCAATCTTCTTGGCCTGCTCAACAAGCTTCTCAACCGTAGGGCCTCGGCCTTCCGGCTCGACCTTCTTGGACTTGTTCTCTTTCTTGAACTTGGCGGCGAGCTCGTCCGCAGCCTTAAGGCGCTCCTTACGCTCCTTATCGGGGAACGGCTTCTCGCCATCGGCCAGGCGTTTCTCGTTATCCTTTTGGAATTTCTTCTCAATCTTGGTGCGCTGCTCTTCCACCAAGAACTTTTGGTGCTCGAGGATCCACTCATCAGTCAACTCTTCGGGGCGAGCAAAGTATTCGGCACCCTTCTTCTTCTTCACCTTGTTGTCGATCTGAAGCATCATTTGCTTCAGGCGCCATTGCTGATACCGGAGGCCCTTGATGCGGTCGCCGAGTTTCTCCATTTGTGCCTCGTGGGCAGCACCGACAGTGCGCTTGTGGTTGCAAAGAATGGCTACCTCACGGTTGCAGTCGTTGTACAGCTTCACCTTCTCCGCAATCGTCAGGTTCTTGTGATCGACAAGCTTCTGAAGGAGAGTGGACATGGTGAAGGACGCGTTGTAGGTACGGAACACCTTTGCTGTCAGGCCCGGCATGTAGTTCTTGAGATGGTTGTTCAGCTGCGTAGTGGTCAGGCGGTCGAAAATGTCGTCACCGTCAGTCTTGGGCGACTTCTTGAAGAGCTTCAAGTTCTTGAAGACCTGCTTCTCAACAGTGACCTCATCGTAGAATCGAATACTGTCCTTTCCGAGGAAGTCGAAGATGACGGTATTGGGCTCGCGCAGGGTGATATGCTCATACTTGAGGGAGCAGCAGCCGACGGTCTCCGCTTCGTTCTCAGAGTCCTTCTCGTTGCCAGCTCTGAGAGCAAACTTGTCAATCAGGTAGACGGCCGTGGCTCTTTGTCGGTCCGCCATGACCTCGCTCTTGAGATCCTTCGTGTAATCCCTTCGAATCTTGTCGATGTGCTTCTTGAGTTCTCTTGCCTTTTCAAACTTCTTCATGTCGCTCTGACCCTTGATTGCACTGGCAGCGCCAAGCATCACGTACTTGTATGCACCGTTGATGTTCTCCTGCCACATAGCCAGCCAAGTAGCCTTGTTGTCGTGAACAACCGCCTTCCACTTGTGACCCTTGGGCGGTGTCGGAACCTTGGCGTCCTTGCCAATGTTGATGGTGATTTGCTCAGGATACACTCGCTTCTTGAGCTTTCCAGTCTTTGGGTGCTCGCCACGGCCGCGGAATAGACTTGGAGGTTCAACACGGAAGTTGCCAACCTTTTCCTTGCGGCCATCCCACTTGCAGTACATGAAGGGAGCTTCCGTCTCATCCTTCTCAGCCTTGATTGCCTTCTTCTCTGCAGCTGTCCGATTCTTTCTGATGGCGCTCTGTTGCTCGTAGTAATTGAAGATGGGCTCGAAGTCCATCTTCATGAAGTCCTTGATGTCGACCTTGTTGCCTTGCTTGTCGGTTGCTTGGCCTGACTCCTTGAGAACGGCCTTGAAATCGTCGAAGAAGTTCTTCTGGAAGACGGGATTGTCGACATTGTGCTTAGAGTTAAGCATCGCTCCGAAGAAACCGGCAACTTCTTCGGCCTCGACGGGGAGGTTGACCGGCTTGCCATCGTAGAGCAGTCTGACGTTCTTGGGGAGGGGCTGGTATTCGGGTGGGAACATGACGCCGTTGTGCTCCAAGGTCTTCCACTTGACGCTGTCATCCTCCTTCTTAGGGGCGTTCCACCATTCGTACTCTTCCTCCTCCTCGTCTTCAGGAGCCTCGCTTTCCGCCTTGGCCTTTGCTCCCTTCTTGGCTGGTGCTGCGGCAGCCTTGCCCTTTGCTGCCGTGGCCTTGGCCGGGGTGGCCTTCTTCGCTGCAGCCTTTCTTGCGATAGGCATATCGGAGTCGGATTCGGATTTAACCCCATTTGACTTTCTGGCGCCGTTCGATTGGCGCTTCTTTGCTCCTGACCTGGCCAAAGGCACATCGTCGTCGGAGGACTCTTCCTTTTTCGCCTTCTTCGGGGTTGCCTTCTTTGCCTTGGCCTCGCTGGCACGAATGTTGCGAGCCTCCTTGGCGGCTGCCTTCTCAATGTCCGCCTTCTTTTGCGCGAGCCTGGCGCCCAATGGCTGATCATCATCGGAGGATTCGTCGGGCAAAGCTGTCTCCCGGTAGGAAGGAGGCAGGTTCTTGCCCCTCTTCGAAGTGAGAGGTTCGTCGTCCGAATCCGTTTCTGGTGCCTTGACCTTGGTCTTTTGTCGCTTGGCCTAGAGTCGCTGTCAGCCTCGGACTCCGCCACCGTCTGTCTGCCTGCCATGTGTAACCTACCAAAGGAGCATCGTCGTCGCTATCTTCGGTTTCGTCCTTGTAATTGACCTTGGGCAATGATGAACGAGACTTGCGCTTGCCGTTCGTCGATGGGCCATCGACGTCCATCGCATCGTCATCCTCTACGGGTCCATTGCGGATAGAGAGACCGGGCGGGGCCGCTCGTGCCTTGGAGGCGGTTCTGTCCATGGCGATGTCGTCGGCTTTCGATATCCTCGATGCAGAAACTGTCGGTGATCAGGTTAGAAAGCTGTTAAGTTTTCATTTGGTTTCGTAGGCAAAGCCGGGATGCAGGAAGTACGCGACGAGTCAGGTGGGTTCGCTGGGGCGAGAGGAGGGAAAAAGTGACACGTCCGGCGTAAAGTGGCAGGCGCGAAGGGTAAAGCGTCCGAAAGCGCAAAAGTTTATGTTTCTTAGCGTACTTACTATGTCCGTTCGACCTCGCAAGAGGTGCGTCGTCGTCTGAGGAACTCATGGTGGGAAAAGGTCTCGGTTCGCGACGTTTACGGACGGTTAAGTAAGAACTGAATCGCAAAGTCCAAAACCGGGGCTTGGTGGAGCAGAAAAAGTTGTTGTAGAAGCCGATCCGCGCGGAAGAATCGCGTAGATATAGAGGCAAAAGCCGGATGGTTGGAAAGGCCGCCACTTGGTGAGTTGAAAGACGTAGGGAATGGCACCCACGTCTCTTCGAATCGAAAGGGAAGACGAGGATTTTTTTTCGAGGGATCGAGGGAACGAAAAAAGAAGGCCGGGGGTGGGAAAGGCGTCGAAGACCTTCTAGCTACGAGCGAAACTTAATGGGGCTGCCCCTAGGAGTCTAACTGTCTAGGTAAGCCCGGGTAGGTAGGCACAGGTAAGCGGGTGGCAGGTGCTGCCAGGACACAGGAAGGCCCGAACCAATCCAAAGCCTGCGCCACAGCTTCACAGCACACGTGACCTTCCTGAGCCACCCGGCTGCCGGTCAAACTCAGTTAGCCGGGAAAACGAGGTGGATGGAGTCGGGTGCGAAGACTGCTAGCCGGGGAGGAAAATAACCTCGAACCTACCAATCTCGCTATCCCGAAGCACC